CTGTCTCTGCTTGTGTTCATCGATGTCTCTGAGAGAGGAGGCTGGGGTCTGGGCAAGGCTGTCTTCTCTAGGTCCTCCCAGGTGGGAAAGAGAGCCCCAGGTGCCCACCCCCAGGGAGTGGCCGTACTCCCCTGCTGGGGCATCCCTTGTCCCTTGCTCAGCTTAGCACTGTGCCCTGGGACTCCCTCCCTATGGTTTTTATCTCTGCTGCTATGCCAGTGACCCTCAAAAAAAAACTTCTAAGTGCATCTCCTCCAGGCCCGCTGGCTGGCGCCTGAGCCCAGGGTCCGTGCCCGCCCCTGACTGCATGTACGTGTGGGTGATGGCTGCTGCAGGGGCTAGACAGGAGGGAGCTGTCTGCACTTCTCCCCCCAGCCTGCTGGAAAAAATAAACCACTCATGGCTTGCAGAAGCGTCCTTTTGTTTCTAAGAGGGACCGGCCAGGCCTGGGCCAAGCATGCTGAGTGAGGGAAGAGCCCCAGGTCCATTTCTCAAACTTGCCTGGGAGCCCTGGGTTGGTGGCCAGTGGCTGTCAGCACCCTGCAACCAAAACCCAGAAGGTGGGCTTGAGTGCCTGGCCAGCTCCCCTTGTGTCCCTGCCTGCCTCGGGGCCTCTCAGGTCAGCATGGCCATGCAGCTGCAGCTCAGTTGAGAAAAAAAATGCACAGAGGGCCCGTGTTTGTTTCCAACCTTGACTTTTTGTCATCATTACCTGTTCTGCCTCCAGCCTTCTGTGCCTGGGTGTTCCTTTCTGCTGGCAGAACAGCAGCCCTCCTGCCCTTGTTGCTGTACTTTCAGCACAGTCACCTCTGGTAGACCAAACAGCGAGGGTTTAAAGGGATTAGCTCCAAGAGCCAGCACAGAAGGAAGGAGGGTGAGAGTAAATACAAACTCAGGGTGGAATAAAAAAGCAGTGTAGAAAAAAGTGTCTCCTAACAGCTCAAAGCAGAGGCTGCTGTGCTCACCTGTGCAAGTCAAAGCCAAGCTAGACATGTCAGCAGTGTAGTTCTGGGCCTCCTCTCCCAGCACCCCCTCCCACTGCCCACTCATCACCGACGGTAAGGAATTACTGGCACCAGTGAAATTCTGTGGCTAGCTGGTTCCAGCTTCCAGTGAGCAGCTCCTTGCTCCTTGTGGAATCAGCGTGGCTCTCAGGCAGCAGCAGGAGTGCTTGTCCACCAGAGAGAAGCAGAGCCCGGGAGAAACTCATCTCCCACTCTGGCAAAGGCAGGTGACCCTTCTCAAGGGCAGTGCAGAAGCAGGACTGAACAGGGAGCTGACCATTACTACCACAGCAGGCTTCCACCGTTGTCCACCAGCCTCCTCATCCTTTGACTGAGGGGGAGGTTCAGAGCATGACTTCTTACAACACCGTGCCATGGGCAGCACCCAGAAGGGTCAAAGCAAGGAAGCTGGAAGCATGGCAGCTGCATGCCCCTCCTACAGCAAGCCCCAGCGGGGCAGACTATATAAAGCAGTTTGTTAGGCTGCATCACTGTAAGAGCTTGCCCTTCCCCAGGCTCACGTACAAAGTCAAGTTGGGCCCTCTATCCTAAACCAGAATAGAGGGTGCTAGCAACATTTTTTAACTAGAACTTTCTCTTTTCACTCAAATTATTTATGCAAGAGCAGCTAGTCTTTGCCCTTCCTTTACAGCACACACAGAAGGGGTTTTTCCTCTCCTCCTAATCTACCTCAACCAGGGAAACCAAGAAGAAAAGCTGGCTCCCTGCTTTGGACCAGTTTGTCCTTAGCTGCCAGGAAACCCTAGGACCCAGTGCTAGGAACTGCTCTCCCTTTTGTCAATGTGCCAGCTGCTGAGGTCAACTGTTTTCTATTAGAAGGGTCTGCCTTCAGCACTCGGAGCTGGGAAGGGCGAACCATTCTCTGAAGCTGATGTCAGAGCTGGAAAAACCCTGCCATGATCCAGGAATGATTTCATACTGTTCCAACAAGGACAGCTCCTGGGGGAAATGCTCTCAGCAGCACAGACAGCTTTTGCCTTGCAGTTCTTTGGTTTTCCTCTTTTCTGCCTCTGCAACCCTTAACTGCCTTTTTCCCCACTTGCACGATTTGCAACTCTCCCCAGCTGCAACAAGATAAAACCAACCTGGCTCCACAGCTGTACTTCAACAGCCTGTTCCACATCTCCCTCTTGGTCATTGTGCCATTTAGGGAACAGTGGGATTTCCTCACTGTCTGTAACAGTTCTGTTACTAGACCAAGAAAAGGATGATTTCCATCCCTGAAAACCTCATCTTTGCTAGGAAGAGCCAATTCTATGCCAGAGGGTTTGAGGACAGGAGAGTTCAGAGCCAGAGAAGCTTCAGTTTAGTACCACCAGTGATGGACCCAGCTCCCATTTCCCCTTTTCTCTCAGCACCAGGTAGCAGGCTTCTTACAGTCTACTAAGGGATGTCTCCAATGCTGGAGTCCTCGCCCAGGGCTGCTGCTTGCCCCCTCAAACACACCCCACCTCGCAGTCATTGCCCAGTTTTATTTTGTTTAAAATCCGCTGTGTTAAATATTTTAGTTACAAGTTCCGTGTAGAGGGTAAGAGTAATAGACTCTGCAGGCACTAGCAACCCCCTCTCCCCAATACATGTGTGCGCTATCAGATTAAGGACTGACCCCTCCCCCCAAAACCAGCAGCCTTGGGCTGGGACATACATTACAGTCGAGGACCCATCCGTCCCTCCGCGGGTGGCGGGCCGAGCCCTCGCACGCAGGAAGCCGGCGGTTGGACCCACGCCGCTGAGCTGTGATTCGAGGACAGCTGCTGGGGGCTGGTTCTTACCCCCATGTTGGGCGTGTCATGGTGAAAGGGCTGTCCCCCCAGGAACGGTGCTACCTCCACAGAGGCCACGGGCTCTGCCCACCCGGACACGAACGTTCACGCCGCAGTGGCCAGTGACGCTCGATCTCTGGGGAAGGCAGGGGAGCGGCCGCTGCCGCGTTCCCCTCGGCGGAGGGAGTGTGTGGAGGGTGCTGGCAGAGGCACGACACCTACCTCAAGCCCTCTTCTGTGAGTGGCCTGGGGGTCCTCAGGCTGCCCTTGCAAGGCAGATGAGTGTGAAATATTTTCAAGCCAAATGGACAGAACAGTAGCCTTTCCTCTCCTCTCCCTCCCAGGAACCTCAGTGCTAGGAAATAAAGCTGAACCCACCTTGGAGTGGCAGGGAAGGGTACCCTAGCACAGCAGCAGCAAGCGGTTTCCAGTGGTATAGGACAAGCCAGAGGCGAGTTTGGTGCTGTGAGAGAGAGGACGCCGTACAGACGGCTGTGGAAAGGCAGTGCCATTCAGTGGTTGGTCCACCGCACAGCAATCCTCGTGAGAAACTGAATCTTCCTTAAGCAGAGTAAGAGAGGAGGAAGGAGCCATCCCCACAATTCCCTCTGGGACAGCTCCAATCACAGCGGAGGGAGGGAGACTGGAATGACCCCTGCCAGTTCCTGAATGCCCTGCATTGCCCCTGCTGGTGCCGGCCCTGCCCTGGGTGGGTCGTGGGGGGGCGGCTGCTCTACAGGTCGAGCAGCAGCACGCGGGGATCCTCCACCGCTGCCTTGATCTTGCGCAGGAAAGTCACTGCCTCTCTGCCGTCGATCAGCCGGTGATCGTACGTCAGCGCCACGTACATCATGGGCCGCACCTCGATCTGAAGGGGAGAAGCAGGACAGGCACTGCTGAGCTCAGCCCTACTGCCTGCATGATGCCCTCCTGTCAATCTGGGGAAGAGCTGGCTTTTTCCTGCCCTGAATCCAGCGCTCAGCCCTCCTGGAGGCATCCTGCCTGGCAGGATTACCTACCCACTCAGTCACCCAGGCACTGCTCACCACCCGGGCTGCGGCCACACCACAGAAGACTAGGTCCCTATTACAAAAGCTACAGCTGCCTCCTCCTCCCCACACTTAAGCAGATTACCCAGTTCTCCCCCTCATGGATAGGACAGGCCCCCCCTGCACACCTCAGGCAACTACCAGTGCCAGCAAAGCCACCCCATACCCATAGTCTCTGCTCCCCCTTCACAGTGAAGTCTTTTAAATATTGACATCAACCCCCTAGAAAAAGCATACGGGCTATGCTCCCCATCCCACCGAGCCCTCCCCTCTGTTCACCAAAACCTCGGGTGCAGCTCCACCTACCTTGCCTCCCACAGCCACAGGCCTGTCAAAGATGGCATGCATGCCTAAGATGGCAGACTGGGGTGGGTTAATGATAGGTGTCCCAAAGAGTGACCCAAAAACACCTCCGTTGCTGATAGTGAAAGTGCCGCCATCCATGTCTTCAATAGCCAGCTCGTTCTTCCGTGCCTAGAAGACAAACTAAGGTCTTAGAAAGCCACACAGATCACAGAAGGTGAAGGACCAGGGTTTGGATGCTCATTCTCTCCAGAAATAAATGCTGATGGCAAAAGCTTCACTCATCGGTCTGTTCAGCTGAAAATGCATCCTGGCTTTAGACCTGAACATTTACTGGCTTTGGGGAAGGTTTCTCTTGCCTTCACTTTCAACTGCAGCTTTTGCCAGAGACAGACACAGGGACTTCTACCCCAGGGCAGTTCAGCCTTGGCCTCTAAAGACAAAGGTGAAGACACACCATGTCACTAATGTCTGCAGTCTTCTGGAAGGGCAACAAGTAGATGGGCCTGTGATGTAAGGCATGGGCACAGCTACAGATGTAACTGTATCACTCCCACAGCACAACTCGGTGTGTTAGAGGTCAGAGATGATGACCTCAGTCCCTCAGAGATGAGGGACTCAATCAATTCCTGCCTGTCCAGCAACCCCAATTCTTCCCAAGGCTCCCAAACCTTTTAAAAAAAACCCTCCAACTTTCCTTACCTTCTCCCCCAACTCGTAGATAGCACGCTCTATGTCAGCAAAGTTCATGTTTTCTACATTCCTAACGACAGGGACCACAAGACCCTAGGGACAAGCAAAGTGCAGGATCAGCAAATTCACTGCAGCGACTCAGAGCTGCAAGGGGGCAGGAGCCTGGCCTCAGCCCAGCAGAGTTCCTGCCGCCACCTCAGCACATGGCAGGTGGTTGGCAGAGCTGCCTCACACCCTGGCAGGACATGCACCAAGGGTCAATGCTGTAAATGAGACAGAATCTTTGCCGGCCTCATAAAATCAACCAGGTCTGTCTGGATCCAGCTCCATGTCCACACAAGCAGGCGAGGCACAGGGCTGAGCTCAGCTGACATTTTGTTCTTTGTGAGAAGAGGGGAGTTCCTTTATGCAGGACTTCCCCTAGACTTTGGGAGCAGCAACAGAACTTTAGTCCGGACCAAACCTGTCTCACAACAAAAACAACTAACTCAACATCTGGATCTCCATCCCATACTCTCCGTGTACAGAAACATCTTTTTGAAGCAGCAATGTCATCTACAGAAATGGTGGAGGAGCACAGCAGGGTTAGCCAAATGATACGACATGCAAAGCTTTTGCTGCCTAAGCCATATCCTCATGGGTACATGACAAGAACAGGTTTCCCTTACTTGGCCCTACTCATCAACTACCGAGATCTATGTTGACCCGGATACTACACCTCCCAGTACGGTGGCAGAATATTATTGGTCGTCAAACATTTTCTCCCAAAACCCAAGTCAACAGTCCACAATATATCAGATGTTTCATCTAGAAGATGAGTCTCATCTGTAAGTTTCTGCTGCAGCAGAACTCTAAGCTGAGTTGGCTTAAAGTGTATGATCATCCCAGACCCAAGGCTGCAGGAAGCATGGCCAAAGCATCCAAGGTACCCACCCGAGGAGTTGCTACAGCGACACTGATGTCCACATAATCCCTGTAGACAATCTCTTTGGTCGTGTCGTCAATCACTAGAAGGAGAAAAAAAGCTGTGTTACATACGCAGTACCCAAGATTGAGGAGTCAGCGTGCCAGAAGTAGCCACAAAATCATAACAGCTTGCTCATCTCTAGCTTAGACATAACTCCAGAGGAGAATAAGCCCTCACTGTACCTGTGGGAGAAGCATCAGGGTAGACAGGAACAGTCCCAATAGGTCAGTCCCCCTCAAACATCCCCCTTGGTATTCTCCTCTTCTGGGTTTGAGTAAGCACCTCTGACATCCCCCCCAGGCACCGGATCACCTACAGCAGCTACACCAACCAGCAGGCTCTGCCCTCCACAGGCTGCCTGCCCATGGCCACAGCCCCCTCCTAACAGAACCCCTCTTGGCCTGCTGTCATCTACCTACCTACCATCTGCCCACAAGTGGCATTAGCAAAATCAGCTGCACCACACAGAACTGTCCCCCCTTCTCCTGTGTACTTGACTTGCTTCTTCAAGCCATTAGTCCTGCAATGGACTTGGCCACCTGTTTTCCCCTGCTCTGCCACATCGAGATGAGCAACTCATCAGCAAGGACCACCACTCACCTGCATTCACAACAGGCTGGTCCTGAAGAGCAAAAGCTGCAGCTTTCACAAAAGCTGACATGAAACCTAGCTTCAGGTTGTGCTTTTTCAGGAAGGGATCCTTGTGTACAGCTCTCATCTCCCGGATGTTGCTGCAAAACACATCGCAACGCTGGTCAGCAGGAGCCCAAGGAAACACCATTCCCTCACTCTGACAGATTCCAGTGCCAGCCCCACAGGCTGCAAACCTGCAGCACCACCCGGAAAATTCCCAGCCTGCTGAAAAGCCTTCAGATGTCACAGATGAAGTTGGCTGAAGGTGGCTCTAAGGTAGTGGGTGCCAGCCCACCTACAGCCCTCAGCCAGACTTAAGCCTGCTTCTCCACCACTCTGATTTATCAGAACTGATGCCACTTATAAAAAGTCAACCAAGCTGTGGCTACAAGCTCTGCCTATTCCAGGCTAATATCAGATGCTGTGGAATGGCATGGTCTGTCCTTCCCCCTTCAAAGACTCTGAGTCTTTGAAGAGACAGCTTCAGCAAGGGGCAGGGGTCTCTGTGGTTTAGAGTGTTTGTTTTCCTGTGCCTAACCTTGTTTAGGGATAGAATTACTGCCCAAAGACATTAGTGCCTCCCAAGGCACAAGGACTGCAGCAATGAGGACGAGGTTTGCTATGGAACTGGCTCATTATGGCTTCCTCCTTTCAGACTCTGACCCCCGTGGGAAGCAGGAGGCCCCAGCACAGGTCCTCACAAGTCAACCTCACAGCAATCAATCCAAAGCGGATTACCAGATGCAACAAGAGCCTGAGGCCGGCGTAAAGCGACACCTCAATGAGCCTCTGAGAGGAGATAAAGCTGCAGCACTTCCCCTCCAATCAAGACTATTTTGCCAACCTTATTGTTCTGAGACCCAAATATTTACATGTTTTGTCTTAAGGAGCAGAATAGGATTTCACTAGGCAATTTGATTTGGGCACAATTTCCCCTTAATGCACTGTAACATAAGCTGTCCACCATCCAAAGCCATTAGTGCATTCAGTCTGTGCAAGCACTTGAGTCAGGAGACCCCCACCTGCCCAGAGGGGATGGGGAAGGATGCTAGTCCATCTCTGGAAAGCTGCACCATCCAACAGCAAAGGCCTCAGACCTACGCAATGTTCACCTGAAAGGCTGATGAGCCCTAGGGAACCACCTCACTGGAAGCTAAACATGCCCACCTACAAAAGCATTAACCTGGTGGTGTGGCAGAAAGTAGATGCTACATCTTGCTGTCTTTGAACAGCCACTACACAAGCGATACTAGTCACTCCTGGTCTTCTGCTCCACATCTACCAGTCCTCAGTCAAGAACCACACAGATGAGGAACCAGGCTGCCCCTTTTACAAGTAGTAAATGACTCTCACAGAATGACAGGTCACGAGTAAGCCATGCACCTCTCGTACTGTGACACCAACACGGCCCTGATGAAGCTGCACAGATGGTGGCACACACCTAAGAAAGAGGTCTCAAAAGACACGTTGCCAGTCTCTCCAAAGAGAATCAGCAAAGTCTTGACTGCTATGTAAAGATGACTTCCTGCATCTATTTCTACTTGTAAAGGGGAAGAGAGGCCTGCTTCTCACCTCATATCGATCTCATTGAACGTGGTCAGCATGGCACAAGTATTCTGAGCCTCTTTCAGCCGCTGAGCAATACGCTGACGCATCCTGTTCATTTTCACCTGAAAATGAAAAAGATATAAGCAGAAGCTGTCTCAAGCTCATCCAAGGAGGAAGACGCACAGGAAACTCAAAAGGCCCTCTCTTGCCAGCTGGCTGACTAGTAATAGATGCCTAGGGCCAAGGTTTTCACTCCAGGTCCCCCTGCAGAGCACGACAGGCTGAGGCGCTAATTTCACTATGGAGGTTCCCAGCTCTACACACAGTTCTATTGAAATGCACCATAGTGTAACTGCTTCCCACCTATGTGTTCCTCAGCACCTCCAAGCATGCGTAGGTTTCTAGCACAAGGCTAATGTGGGAAGAGCAAGACTGCTAAGAAAGCAGGCTGCTCAGCCACGTTCTCTTCAGAATGCACAAAGCAGCTGCAGCAGCCTCAGCCTTTTGCTAAGGGCTTGTGGACAGTCCAAGCAGGTCACACTGAGCTTTCTGTGCCCAGTCAGCAGAGATCAGGACAAACTTTTGCTAGAAAAGACCTGTGTCAGATCACACCTGGCTCTTCCTCCACGTATACCATTTCCCCATCTGTCACAGCCCCACTGAGCTGGGTGTGAGCAGTTAGAGATGAACACACCTGGAAAGCTCAAGGCTTAGGCCAGAACAGATTGTCACCCAGCAACAGAAGCGCTGGCGAGGCTTCTGTTCCCACAGCTTACCCTGTGCTCTGCTCTGGCACCTTTGCTGGGCACTGCCTCCCCAGGTGGGGCTACCGCTGGGGCTGCAGCCGGCTTCACCGCAGACACTGAGGGTAAAGAACACATCAGTCAAAAATGGAAGCCAGGGCTTGACGGCAGCACCCCGAGGCGGAAAGCCCATTTGAGCTCCTTGCTCAAGCAACGCAGTGTGGAAGCCGCCATGAATTCGGCCCAGGAGGTTCCAGGCACAGGTGAGCTCTCCAGTCTGGAGCACGCAAGGCAATAACACGGGGAGGCCTCCGCCTTGAACGCCAAAACGTCTGTCATCTTTAACCCTACACACTCTGCCCAAGGAAGAGGGGCTGGAACATAGGGGAAAACGGCTGTTGCCTCACCTGGTTTGCTGTCGATGGGCTGCGTTGACACAGGCGGCACTGGTGGCATTGTAGTGGGAATAGGTGCTGCAGGAGGGGGAGGAGGAGCTGCAGCTACAGGTTCAGGGGCTGCAGGAGGAGGAGGGGCTGCTGCTGGTTTGGCCTTAGCAGGAGCAGCTGAAAGACAAGGAAGAACCAGGGTAAGGGTGACCACAGCTTCCACTGTCAGGGATCTCCAAACCCAACTAACGTGATAAAAGTTAACCCTGTGGCAGAATGGCTTTCTGTTCTCAGCACTCCTGAACTGACAGGAGCCACTACAAGAGGATCTCATGATGAAAGTGCTTTTTACTCATTGACACACTAGATCTCCTCACTGTGCAGGAGACTGGACACTTAAGAGAAGAGGGCAGAGAAGTGAGTTATATCAGAGGAATTCTCAAGTAATTTTAGCTTAGAGCTGCAGTCTCCTCCAGACAGAGCAAAAGGAAAGTTACCCCCCCCAGGGACTAAAATTATGCTTTTCTAATGTACAACAGATAAGGAGGACTTTCTTCCAGCTACAGAGGCAGATGGAGGAAACATTTATGCTCTCTCAGGATCCCTCTAGATGCCTTGTTTCCATCTTCAGGAAAAGGTTGGTGGAAATAAGCCCTAACATTCTGTGATTCTGTGAAACAGGAAGGCCTGTGCAAGTTATACATGTCTGACTTACCTCCAGTTTTCCTGAGTTTGAACAGAGGTGTCCCCCCTTCCACTTTGCCACCATCGGGTACCAGAAGGGCTTCAATCACACCAGCTGCTGGGGCTGGAACCTGCACTGATGTCTGAAAAAAAGGAAACTCAGTAGAATTCCCACAAGCACTGGAAGGAGAACAAGTGCACAAGAGGAGATGCCAAAAAGAGCAGACGCACATTGTCATTTGGCACAGACAGCAGCTCTGTCTCACACCATTGCGACCAGTTTTCACACCCTCCACCAGGATTTTGTGCTGATGCTTTGAAGTTTTAGGAGACACTGGCAGTGTAACCTAGAGCCTTATCTTCCTGCTCCAGGGTACAATCGAGAACTGACCCACTGCCAGCAGCCTTCTGACAGCAACATTGGAAGCAGAGCTTGGCAGGGAGTTTTAGCAAGAACTTCAAAGCTTAAGAGTCCTTTAAGGAGTGAGTAAGCTTAAAGGCTAAATTTAAAACAATGTGAAGACATCCTATGGCTCTGCAGATTTCTCCTCTGTTTAAACAAATAACTTCCAAGCTTAGAGCACGGAAATTGGAAAGAGAGGAATTGCAGCTCCAACAAACAACAGCAACACTGACGCTTAATTAAATGTATGAGGGAAGAGTTTGCAAAGAATTCTCCCTTCAGGCCCAGACAGCTTTCACACTAGATGAGAGAAACCTCAGGCAGGGCCTGCAGGCTCTAAGAGCTCTTAGTGGGAGAGAAGCCAAACAGGGTATCTGCCACAGAACTAGAAAAATTTTGGCCCAGAAAACTCCTACCTTGTCCGTCTCAATCTCACACACCACCTCATCTTCCGCCACCGTGTCTCCAACAGCTGAATGACAGATATGAAGAGCACTGTGAGGAGGAAGGTGTGCTCCAGCCTCCCCTCTTCACCCACAGCAGCCTCTCCCACTAACCCAGAATTTTCTCACCCTAGTTCTCCACAAGTTCTAAAGAAATGTCTCGCTCAATCAATCAATCAACCACACAGACTGAGTCTGATTCCAGTTCAGACCTCACCCCTCGCCCGACATCACCCACGACAGAGAGATGCCCCAGCAGTAACTGCACTCCTTCCCCCTCAGGAGGGCTGCAGTTAACCACCTCATTTGTCACAGACTGAAGGGCACAGAGAGCAGGCAGTCAGTAACTACAGTTTATTCCCAAGCTGTCCAGTGCAGCAACAGTGCTTACCTTTCTCCCACCTGACATCTCCTTCTGTGACTGACTCTGCAAAGGCTGGTGTGTTCACCGTAACCACATCATCCCCTGTGAGAGAGACAAACAGACTTGAACACAGTCAGAGCTCAAAATTTCAGACACTGCTTCATTCTTGTCATCAGAACTTCTACTTCAGACCTCCAGGGCTAGGTCAACAGACATCAAATGCTGGCCTTCTCCTTGCTTCGACACCGATTAACATTTAAACACAAGAGAACTTCCCATCTGACTGAAAGTCACATTGTGACAAGAATGCCAGACAAAATCTTTAGGGCCCCAGGACATAAAGCCTCAGCCATCCATCGAGGTGGGACAGAGGTGGGGCTAGACCAAGGATGGAAGAGGTAGCTTCAGCTGTTGTCAGGACAAAACCAGGGAGCACAAGAGCCAAACCCCTGACTCCTGACTTTTTACTTACTACGTACTGCAGTGGTTCTGAAGTAACGGACAGTGAAGACACTGGAGCTATTTACTCTGCAGGAAAAGAGAAAGGTATGAACACAGAAGTATGCTCCTCTGCAAGCCACGGCACCAAGCTCAAGTACAGAACATACATTTGCTTAACTGATCTGAAAGGCTGCTCAGCTGTTCTGGTGTATTTGTTCCAAGGGACCCCTACTTACCATTCAAGTTGCAATAATTCCACTAAGAAAGGCAACATTACAGCTTACCACCACTAATGTTCTCAAACTCAGTGAGAACTGGCATTTATAGAATTTTAACTTAGGGAGACAACCCAACAGAGCTCCTGTGGTTTAAATACTCATGAAAGGCTGGCTCAGCCAGCCCACCCTACACCCAAGATTAGTGCAGAAACCATTTTTTTACCTCCAGATCAGAACTGTCATCTCTACAGAAGCTGCTAGGTTGCTCCAAAAAAGATAAAGCACCATAAATTGCCTATGGCAACACCTGCAAGAAACAGCTATTTCTCTCCACCACACCCCTTTCACAGGGAGCTGGCAATCCCAAGCATTCCAAAGGATGTTTTTTATACGTACTGCCACCACATGTGGAAACCCAAAACAGATGTGCTTTAGCATTTCCTCTAACACAGGCTATTTGGTGCAACCAGAACAGCTTTTCAGGCTTTTATGGATGTTCTCTTAAGGTTATTTCCCCAAGTACATTTTTACAAGACCACCTCAGCAATGCAGCCCCTGCCATATGAACAACAGCTGCCTGAACCACCCCACTTCTCCTGACAGAAATCCTACCAGAAGGCCACCACAGAGCAAACAAGCCTTCTAGTCAGATAATCAAAGGGCAGAGATCAATGGATCACCAGCCTCTTCATTCCTGTCCCTTCCCTGCCTCGGTAACAAGCCAAGCTTATTTTCTTTAAGCATGCCACAGTTCCTGAATCCCAAAATCTAGATTTTGTTAGGGCTAGCTCCCTGCTCCTATGATGTGCAAAGGGACTCCGTGACAGCCAACTGTATTCTGCCTCCCAGCCCCAAAATCTTAGGAGGGCTAGAGCAGCCCCAGCCTCTCCACATCACAGCTCTCTTGGGGATACTTACACAAGCTTCCTGCTGTTGGTGTAAGCCAGTCCCTGGCTCCCAGCCACACCTGTGAATGAGAATGGTGTTACCCCACAGGAACATCACCTGCCCCTCCAGCCCCCAGGCGTCTCTGTCAAGTAAAAGACTGCAGAGGACACCACTGTACACCCTGAAAGGAGCTTGGGACTAAGTGGGGAATACAGCCATACAGAGGCACCCTGGTGCTGTCAAACCTGCCCAAGAACAGTGGTCTTGTCTTCATCTAGATTTATAGAGAAGGGAAAAACAGTTTTATCTTGACTTCAAAGCTAATAAAGGTAACTTTGAAAAGGGCAAACAAAACAGCAGCTACCCTTGTCAGAAGAAAACCAGGAAACAGCTACGAGGGACACCTCCAGGACTCCTAAACCTCAGCTGCTATTGAGTTACCCTCACTGATACAAAGGGGTTCCCAATAGTAGCGAGACACGAGTGTGCTAAGAGGCACCCCCAGGAAGCTCCAGTTGCATGGACACGTAAGGAGGAAAAAAGAATGAAAACCAGATGTAGGGCAGAGTGGCAAGCCACCACCATCCTCCTCCTCTGCCCAGACTCTGTCCCAAGAACACTTCTTTTCCAAAACTCACAGCAGGGAAGCACCTGTATAACTTCTCAGTTTCACATACCCCACTGTCCCCTTCCCACACTGCTCGCATGCCCTGACACTGCAATTTTTATTACAAACTGAACTCCTGTCCTTTGCCTCTTTCAGGGCACTGGGCATTCTTCCAGACTGATCTTAAAGAGAGTCAGCATAGCAACTGGAGAACATACTTATCTGAATTACACAATGCCTGAAGGAAGAACCATTTCCCCACTTGATTTGTAAAAGAAGTGATATAATTTTGACACCATCCCCTACTGAAGAGCTGATATTGGAACTCTAAAAACCAGAAAAGGCAAGCAGATTTAACTGGTTTCTCAAAGTGGAATCCGAAGTGAGTGATATAATGTTATAGAAACACAGTACAGCTAGAAAAAACGGAGCTCCGAGAAAATCCAGTTTAAGCACTGAAGAGGAATTCAAGGGCATCCTAGATTGGACATGTCACTTAACATTTACCCATCATTTTCAAAGGACTTCATTAGGGAGCTACGGTCTGCAACGGCACGTGTCTCAAGCACTGCCATGCTTGAAATATGCTGTGCTGCTGTGAAATCTTTACCAGAACCGAATGGATCGGGCAGCACGTATATTAAGCAAGGGAAGCACTCACATGAAAACACAGCTGACTTCACCAAGTGTTTCTTCATTCCATGACTGACAGAAGTCAACTCCAATCAAACCTATTACTAATTTCTATCATCAGCTCTGTTCTGTCTAGGTAGTTTGAAATGAAATAAAAGCGTAAGACTCACCAGACAGAGAGCATCTTGCCAGAGTACAGTTCCCCTGTCAGAGAGAAGAGGAACTATCAGTATTGCAAAAAACTGGACCCACCCTAGAAGGACTTTGGTTTTCCCACGAGACCTGGATCAGAGACAGGACCCACCATTCCCCTGCTCCAGGCTGCAGGCACACTACTTTCCCAGAGTGTGCAAAAGAGAGCATCTACAGCCTTCTCTTTGCTTCGTCTCCTTCCAGGATGCCTACCTGCGGAGTGATGTTAAACCTGATGCATTTGGGTTTTGATTTTGACTCTTAGACCTTCTCCTGCACACTTTCCTCTTTAAGAAGGAGAGATTTCCAAAGACACTTTCACTAAAATTTGCGATGAATGAGAAGGTCAAGGGTAGCTACTGGATACAATGAAAAAACATCCCATGATGTTTACTCCTACAGTCATGAATGCAGCACGTGGGTTTTATTTCCTTGTTTTAAGGCTATGGAGCCTCTGAACTCCAGAAGACCACAGTCTTCCTTGATGGCAAAATTTCTACTGCCTTCAGTGAGCCAGGAATTCCACCTTCTGGTGACATCTCACTTCATACTCATGTCATTGACTGCATTCCTAGCTCAGCATAACATTCCTCAAAAGCAAAAGACATTTCAAGATATTGCAGTTACCTTCCCTACTGTCATTATACGTTTCTCTAGCATCAAACCTGCAGATCTGAAGAACCTAGGAACTCTTTAAGAGCTATAGGAAAATTTCAGAGTAACCAAGACTAAAACACAGTTAGCTGACTCATCTGGAACAACAGCTGCGTAACAGCTCAGAGCACCCTTATCCAACAGCTAAAGAGGTAAAATCCAGATTTCATTCACAACTTCAGTGTCTGAAGAGAAGTTTGCATATAAGCCTTGATTTCAGCTTCACCAGAGCAAGCAGGACAGGACATTAATGCCATCTTAAACACCAAAATAATTGGTGGAGCTGTGTGTGCTAAGGCAACATGGAAATCAAGGCCCAAAGAGATACTTCAGCTTGTCACACTGTCTACAAGACCGAGCGCTGTCGCGCACACACAGACATTCAGTGAACACTTCATACTGTTAAAACCACTAACAGGTGTGGAATCAGTCCCTTGGCAGTTTAACCACCCAAACTTATTGACGGTTATTGATGGATTTGGCTCCTCAGTGACTAACCCACGGTCCCCTCAGTGACCAGTCGGCTGCAGGCAGCCAGGCTGACGTGCTGCTGCGCCGGGGGCCTAGCAGGGCACAGGGGCTCCCCCACAGGCACGCTCCGAGTTAACTCTGCTTGGTCACACCCGAAAGCGCCACGACCCTACCGATTAAATTCTTCCCACCTTCTGTAGCGACTGCACGAAGCTCATCGCACAGAAAACATCAAGCAACCCGAGCTCCCCTCTGCCCATTGATGTTCTCCTGGTGCTTCATAAAAAGTGGTAAAGGTATTTCTAGCATCCCAGTCATAAATTGTTAAGAAAGAGGTACAGCTCCAGGCTGAGGCAGAAACAGCCAATTTTATTTGCACAGGACCAGTTTACTGTAGGGTTAAAAAAAAAAAATTAGAAGGCCTGTCCTAAAACAAATCGTTGTGAGAAAACACATCTGCAGCGCTCTTCCACAAGAGGTGCCAAGTCTATGTTCCACAACTGTTGCAAAATTAAGGAAAAAACTGGTCTCACTAGACCCTTCTGTCTCTTAGGTTAAGAAATGCAGGAAAGGGCTCTAAGGTGAGGAAGAAGCCACAAATGAAAGATGCTGAGACTCCCTGTCTTGTTTCCATCCCTCACCCACAGTACCTTGGAGATTCATGCACAGCTCCAAGGGATGCCTAACAGAGTTGTCTCCTGCTTCCCTTTTCCCAGAAGGAATCACTGTGATTGGACATGTTCCTGGTATCACTTGGCTAAATGTGCCCTCTGCCTGATCTTGGAGCTTCTTCAGGGAAAATGGAAACATTTAGGTTTTGCTAGCTAGCATTAGCACTTTGGGTCACTTTAAAGAGGCAGCCTTCACTTGGAGAAGTAAGTCTTGGTCTAATTAGCTAGTGACTCACATACAAGTGATGAATTTTCCCCCCATGTTTCACATGACTTCTCAGAATTGTTTTTCTAACTACTATGTGAATGTGACCCTGGCACACAGTGTGCCAGGCCACACCTTTCAAGGAGCTGTCACCTTCCACCACGTCACTACAGAGCGAAATAAGTTATGGAATACATCAGCTGAAGCAACAGCCTGTTTACCTAACACGCTTCTCCTCCAAGAGCGGGGAGAGGGCCCAGCTCAGGTGGGGACACGAACTACACGGGAGGGTACAGTTAATTTCAACAGAGGCAAACCAGAAGCCCAGTGCTGGGCAGCAGTGCTAACAGGCAACACAGCAATCGGTTCTCCAGCCCCGACTTCTTCAAAGCAAGAAAGCTGCTGCTTTAACAAGAAGGATGAGCACAAACTGCTGGCACACACAAAACCCCACTGCACGTCTTCTGTGGACTTTAACACAATTACAATAGCACGGCAGACACTATGATGGGGTGGAGATAATGATGTTGAGTGGTAAAGGATACTGTTACTAAGGTGACAGGTTGCCCTCCTGCAGCATTCAGCAGCATCCAACAGGTAAGAAAAAGTTCTTTACAAACTCTTCCCCAGAACAACAGAAGGACTCGAGAGTTTCAAAGCACCGAATGCAGCTCCTGATTAAACAAACCATCCTTTTCAGACTAGCTCTTCTCTGGACTTTTTCAGGTCATCCTTCAACAGCTGCCTTCCCCCACAGTCTTGCATGCTCAGATGCAGGCTACTGATGCACAGTGAAAATTTCTACTTGATGTATGAATCCAGGATATTTTTCTCTTTTACGAGATCATCAAAATCCTTCCAACCCTCCACTACCCTTGGCATTCTCTGCGGACTCCACTGTTCTCCCATGCATCCCTATGCTTCTGAATTCTGTACATGTCAAACCTCTGATCAGAGAAGTGAGAATAACAGCAGTTCTGTCTTTTCTGTCTGTCTCTCTAAAAATCCTGTACTATCCCCTTTGTCAAAACTTACTTCCCATATCCCTGCTCAAATGGATATCAAACAACTACCATGATCTTTACTGCTCAGCTCCTGCAGTACATCTAACAGGTTAGCTAATATTATCTCCCCTGCCCAGCACTCAGATGTAAACTCCTGTAAGCTCCTGATTTGCAGACTAGTTTTACGGAAGATCCAAATACTCCACGTGGCATTCTCCCCAGTTCTGTGTAACTACACGGCACCACTGAGAGATGACAACACTTAAATATCGTTAAAGTGCCACTTGGATAACCCTATTTTAAACTGCACTATAATAAATATGTATCTACATGTATGCGTACCAAATATAACTACACAGTTAGTTGTACTTTGTTTATGGTGGAGTTTTATATACACACACACACACGTATTCTATAAACACAAACCTGTTTGTAGCGCCCAGAGACAAGCATTTAACATACAATGGCCCTATGGAGAAGCACAACATAATTAAATGTTCCACATTACCATTAGCTGTCAACACTTGCTTGCCTACATTCACACAATGGCTAAAATCAGATCTCATGCTGTTAAGGCTTCAGCTGGTCATCTGGAAGAGATGTGGTCTTTCTCCTCCTGTAGGTACGCACATTTAGCTATGCTTGTTTGCTGTTTAAAGGGAAGATGTGGCCAGAAGGCAAGGAACGACAGAAGCCAGCTGGCCAAGCACAGCCCCGATCTTGTCTGGAGCAGCTGGCTCTGGCTGTTAAGACTCTGCAAGCCCAAGCTCCCGCCAGCACAGGTTACCGCCGTTTGCACCCGTTCAACGACTGCTTTGAAAAAGGAGCAGGAATTAGATATGACGGGGACACCGGTTAATTCACCGTCTCCGCCTCGGGCCGGTCCCGGCCGCAGAGTCTCTGTCGGGAGCGGGCTGCGGAGCGAGTCGCGGTCACCAGCAGAGAGCCCTCCCCAAACGCCTCGGCCCGGGGCAGGCGGGGACGGCAGAGCCCGGAGCGGCGGTTTTTGGGAGCTCTCCCGGTGCCGCGA